GCCAGTCGCCGCCCCGCTGCAGGGGGGCTGCACCGGCCGCTCCTCGGGGGGGCCGTGGGGGTCCCAGGGCGGGCCACAGTGGCTCTGACAGGCGTCACCAAGCCCAGGGCTCTGGGGGACACCCTCCTCGGCCCCCTGGGACAGGTTGACATCCAGCTCTGTCAGCTCAGGGCCGTCTGGCTCAGGAGCCTCCTCCTCGTTCTCGCTCCCCGTCCCGTCATCTGCCGGGGCAGAGAGAGACAACGCCGACGGGAGTGATTCCCAGCGCCAAGGGGAAAAAGGGGGAGCCTGAAGAATTCGGGCAGACAGCTGCCAAAGGCCGATCCCAGAACAGAGGGCAAGAAAGCTCTTCCCGACCCCAGCCCAGCGGCTCCACGCAGAGCCCCGGATACCTGCTAGCTCGGGACGCTCCCTGAGATGGAGGAGTGGGGGCTGCCATGGGGCCATTGCTAAAACCTCCAGCCCGTTCAGGGTGGGGTCCCAGCTCACCTGCGGGGGCCACCCTGAGGATCTCCCATTCCTTGCAGTCGTTCGGGTCCGGCACCCCCAGCTCTTCCTCCAGCTCCAGCCGGGAGATGACGTTGGGCTTGGGAATCGGGAAGTCTGCTCCGGAAAAAGGGGGAAAGAAGACACCAGGGTTGTTACAGGTCTGTTACGTGGGGTTTATTAAACACTATATATATATATATTTATATATACACATATACACTTTTTAAAGGCAATATGGCATTTTGCGTTCTGGTGAGCAGCTGGGAGAGAAAGGCAATAAACGGCATTTCCAGGCAACAGACCATTGCTACTCGGCAGGTAACCTCGCTTCTGGCATCTCCTGTCTTCCAAAGAGGGATGTGCCATGCCAGCACCGCATTTCTCTGCACCCAACGCCTTAAAAAAACCAAACTCCCACAAAAATTGCACTTTCTTTTCCCCCTGTGCCCGCCACCTAAAAAGCATGCGCCATGTTGTGCCAAGAGGGCTTGCAACGCCGAAGGCAGGTGCCCAACCCCGTGGTGCTGGCTGCGCCGACACACGGCAGGGACAGCTTTTGTTCTTGCCGCACCCGCAGGATGCGTCTTTTATTGGCAGCGGATTATTTTTTGGCGGTGAAGCCCGGCGTGTGGCGGGG